GTATTATACTAAAGCCTGGCCTTTGGCAGCAAGTGGACATTTCGCAGTGGTTAATGGGTTTCAACCCAAATATACACTTACAATTTCGATCTACGCCTATAGACCTTAAATATACTGATGTATACAGCGAACAGAAATAAATTTCTCAGGAAATGAGAAGGCTGAAAAGCAAGCATTGCATGCTTACTTTTAGCAGATGTTTTGTTATGAATGAAAAAATTTGTTTGGTGAGTGTTTGCTCATTGGTTTCGATTACTTCCACCGTATGCTCCACAACAGGGTAGTGCAGGGACGGTGAGTTGCGTGTGAAGTAGTTTAAAGCGATAGTAGACTCGCACTGCATCTAACGCACTCTCTTTCCCCTCACCCATCTGAGCCCGGTGTCCAGACAAAATCCTGTTTACGTGTGTATAAATTGTTCAGCGAACATCATTGTTTTTCCTCGTAGTTATTTCTCATATCTCTTTGTAACAAGATTTATTATGATTTTTTATAGTCTTGAAAGGTGGAGAATCTTTCATAATACAGTAGACGCCAAAGACCAAGCAAAATTTCGACACATGCGAAAGACTGATACCCTTTTGCTAACCGGCGTTGACTCAAGTTGTGATATTGATTGTCGTGTAGTCTATTCTGAATTCACTTCAGTTATGATAGGATGCGGGCTTTTTAACGAGCTTCGTTCCGACCAGCAGCAAAACGTATCAATTGTAAAAACTGGCTACTTATGTAGTATGCCTTTTTATCACTTATTTTGATTGCCTTAATAAATTCAAATATATTTTATGTAAAACATGCACGAGTATCAGTCTTTCGCATATGTTGAAATGTTGCATGATCTTTGGCGTCTACTGTAGATCTTAGTTTATAAAAACGCGAGCGAATTTTAAAAATAACAGACGTTCCGCCCTGTTCTTGGAAACAAATGTTGCATGTTGTCACCATTATTGTTCGCGGAGAAAATGTGAAGTTCTTATGAGCAGCTATTCTCTTTATCAAAATTTTCATGGAAGATGTTAACATATTCCTACCCCGCGGAACCATTATATCACATATGGAATGTGTCGCTTTTGGCGGCGAAGTGCCAAGTGAGGTTCGGTAGACCAGCCCTACCATAGCCAAACTTCAACTACGTTCCGGGATTTTCACACTATGTACTGTATGGAATTCGTGTCCATATAACATATATAACTGCTAAGCAATAATTAAACTTTACGAATAATCCAGCGATAAACAAATTTAGGATCCCAGCCTCTGGGTCTTCGCTACTGAGACCAGCGCGAGTACATCTGAAGAACACAACAAATTAGTTGGTTCCGTAATGGGAGCACCAGTAGCTTTGTAGTTCTGGTAGTCCAAGGTGAAATGGGAACGATTTCACACTGAATCAGGTGGAGTTCCGTTCAGGGGTAACTGAGACTAATCACTAACCTTGGAAAATCTTAAGTTTAGAAGGTCTTAGAAGAAATTCGAATGATGCAGCTAGTAATGAGCTAATGAAAGCAATTAATTTATCATTAATAATATTACTATTGATGACATGAAAACAGAAAACACGATGACTGAGTTAGCTCATTTTTTATTAGAATTAGTAAGCTTTTATATTATATCCGCTGATTGCGTTCATAGCGCACACCGCAAACCCTAATCTGACGATTTATAGATGCCTGCATTCTCTCCCTCATTCTTTACTGCTCTCCAGTTATTTTTCCAGTTTTGCTTAAAGAAGACCTGGCCATTTTTAAACGTATCCTCCGAATGCTCTCTTCAGCTGCCGG